GAAATCAAAACAAAACAGGCATCTTTTGTGTTTTTTTTTATCATTAATTTGATTTATTCCGATATATCAACAATTTTTAACAAGTACAATTTTACATTTAGGGTACATGAATTTGTAGAATGTCACAGTGGACGCAAGTCATAGTGCCATCTCATAACCCATACCACGAGCTGTCAGACATGCCACGAGTTGAGCATCAGGCCCATAGTTTAGCCCGAGCCCGACCCGACTCATTACATGGCTTAGCTTAGGTGGTCCACAACTATCAAAGTATATCTAATAGGAATGACAATGAATCGAGTTTGGTGAGTAGTTTTCACCTCTTACCAACTTTTGCCCACTTTCGTTAACAGGAGAAGTTTTAATCTTCATCTTCGCCCTATGAATAAATTTTGATCCCTACCCTGGTTATTACAATTAATTTATGATTTTAAAAAAAATTAAAAAAAAAATCATAAAAATTAAAGTACAAGTTGTGTCTCGTAGGAATGACATTGGATCGTTATTGTATTAAGAAGCAAAAAGGGTAGCTGGTGGTTAGTTGCTAATATAAGTTTTTGTTTTTTTGANAATTAAAGTACAAGTTGTGTCTCGCAGGAATGACATTGGATCGTTATTGTATTAAGAAGCAAAAAGGGTAGCTGGTGGTTAGTTGCTAATATAAGTTTTTGTTTTTTTGATCTAAATGGTCTTACGAGTTNAGGAATGACATTGGATCGTTATTGTATTAAGAAGCAAAAAGGGTAGCTGGTGGTTAGTTGCTAATATAAGTTTTTGTTTTTTTGATCTGAACGGTATTACGTGCTACCTTAATATGATTTTGTTAATCAATGTCTTAATCGATATTAGGGTTGTCAATGAATCGAATTCATACCTTGTATAAACCGTATCTAATGGATTAGTATCATATTTATTTGAGTACACGTTAATTTATTTATTTGTTAGGTTTTAACGGGTTCATGATTTACCATCTGAATCTACAAAGATTAAATTCAAATCTGTTGATTCAGTATTTCTTGTTAGGTTCATGAGTTGTGTCATATAGGCCACCTCTATTAATAGAACTGCTATTGAAGTTGGGGGAGAAAATTCATTGAAAAGGCAAACAAGAGAACTTTGCTCATAAAGTTTGTCCAATTCAATTCGTCTATATAAATTTTTTTTCCCAGCAAAAAATAAATAAATAGATAAACACCCAGTATTTGTAAGCCTGTTAGTAGAACCACTGGTTTAGTTGGAAAAGAATTTATTAAATCTAAACAATCTCAACTACCGGATAATATAGCAAAATTTAGTCACGTATTTGTTATATAACATTTAGCGCTACAAGTAACTACAAAAGAATCGAACCATGCCTTCAATGTATGAGGCAATGCAATAGAGTGTTGTCCCGTACAATGCTATGGACACATGCTCACAAACAAGCTTATAGTTTTTTTGTTAGAAAACCACTGCACAATTCTTATAGAACTAGTAGCTATCACCGGTCATTGCCCCTATCATGTGACCATCTAGGCTGGCCAAAGCTATGCTCATTCCTCCGGATCTATTGATCCAAGATTCGCATCGGACATAAAGGATCCAGATACCACCGGATGAATCAGATTGTCGAAATTTTTAATATTTGGTTTTTTTGAAACCAAACCGGCGGTAGAAATAATGCAAATAGCTTGAGGACCCCTTGGCAATCGAGAAAATGAAATAATTCTCATCACTACATCCTCTCTAGCATTAACAGTGCTCTCCTGGGGCTTATGGGACTTTGATTGAAATGCCAAGAACAACAACCACCATTGGAACCTCCAAGCAAAAGTCTTGGGGATTTTTTTTTTTGTGGGGGAGCGGGGGTGAGGGGAGAGAGACGACGAAATTTGAACCCATAATCTTAAGGTATAATAATAGGAGCGATGACCATTAAGTCAACTGTCAACCTCAAAAAGTCTTGGGGATTGAAAATGAGTGAGCCAGGCAATGAACTTTGTTTCAGCAACAACCATGGCTTCTTCACCTTGTGGTGTAATGTGTGCACAAAATGAATGGCACAAGCCTTTATTTATATGCATGTGATGTGATTAAGGAGCCTCAACACCTACTATAATAATAGTTTTTTTGTCATTATTGCATTCTTAATAAGAAAATCATAAAAGATATTACACCATTATTGGATTCTATTAATACACCAATCTCAGTAAAGACTTTGGCAATTTAGTTGATTTTGCACAAAATCGGATTGTCTAAATATTCATTGTAATGGTGATTTCACGTCGTGTAATTGCAATAATAAATTCTCTAAGTGTGAAAAATAGCTAATGAATTATATTGGACAAGTACGTGCAGATGTGAAAATTTATTACTCTCAACAAATTTCTTACCATAACCTGAAATGGGTTTTCCCTGGTGATTAAAGAGTTATCCATCTTTAAGCACACGTATCGGGTGTTCTTGATTGCATAGCCACTCCTTTTCTCTTTCCTACAATAATAAACTAGATTTGCTGTTGACTATTAAAAATAAAATAAATTTCTTACCATAAATAATTTTTTAACTATATTTTTTTAAAATTGTGAAAATTGAATTATTTACGAGCTAATCCACGAAAAAGGGCCACAAATCATGTTTTGAGATTACCCATGGCCCACAGACCGATCCAAGGCCATGCAAACTTTATTTTATTTTATTTTTTTGACTTTAAGGCATGGAGAAAGTTGAATTAGGAATTTTTTGACATTAAAAATGAATTTTTTTTGGTATAAAAAATACATTACAACTTATAAATTCAATTTTCATTTCATTTTACAACAATTAACATGGATCAAACTTGACCCAAGTCATAGTGCCATCTCATAACCCATACAATGAGTTCAGCATTAGGCCCATATTCTAGCCCGAGCCCGACCCAACTCATTTGGCAATAAATTATCATTTCAAAATTAATTGTCATTTGGGATCGATTCAATTGTAATTTAGGATTGATTGAATTGCTATTTATGATTAAATTTCCATTTGAAATTTATTGAATTACCATTTGGGATTATACAAAAACATTTGAGATTGAATTGCCATTTAGTCCCAAATTTTTTTTAAGGAATTTTTAGATTTGTATTTTATTGTATGATATATTATAAAACATATTTAAAATAAAACGTGAAGTAGTTACCAAACATGTTTTATTTTTTATTCTCAAAATTTGATAAACAAAAATGACACACAAACATATTTTCTATTTCAGTGTTTATCACAAAATAGAGACAAAAATTATTTCTATTTTTGATTGTTTTGAAGACGCAAAAACGAAAACATTACCAAACGATTTCCGNGTTTTATTTTTTATTCTCAAAATTTGATAAACAAAAATGACACACAAACATATTTTATATTTCAGTGTTTATCACAAAATAGAGACAAAAATTATCTCTATTTTTGATTGTTTTGAAGACGCAAAAACGAAAACATTACCAAACGATTTCTGTGGTTCTCAACTCTCGAGGGATGTCATGTTTCAAAACTCCATGTTTAAGTTCTGGGCCGGGCCTCCAGCCTAGCCCAATACTAATCCCAATCCAGCCATTCCACGGGCCAGGTTTATCTCAAGTCCCAACAAGGAGTAAATATTGGGCGTAACCATTCAATAAAAATGGAGTGAAAAAAAAAAAATAGAACCCACTTAATATCATGAAATTGGTTATGTATTACAGGACTTGGTGCTTATGAGTTTTAGTGAGACCTATTTGTTGACTTATTTATCTATTAGTCATAACTTATGCTTGAAAATACGATAAAATATATAATTTAAATGCCTAAAAAATCAATCTCATTGTATTAAATTTTTTTAACATGTGTATATTATAATATATATACAATGTTTGAAATAAAAATTATATTAACTACAAATTAATTAAATATTAAATGATTAAACANTTAACATGTGTATATTATAATATATATACAATGTTTGAAATAAAAATTATATTAAATATAAATTAATTAAATATTAAATGATTAAACATATGATAAAAATGAGTGATATGATATTTTTAGGGGAAAAATATGTAAATGATTAAACATATGATAAAAATAAGTGATATGATATTTTTAAAGGAAAAAATATGTAGAGGATAAAAAATCAAGTTATTATGTATTTTATTATATAAATTAGTTGACCACTATATCACGTGACACACTGACACTGACGTGGTATAATAGTTACACCCAATATTTTCTCATAAACATGAGAGTTAAAATCATAAAAGTAAAAGTCACATTTAGCAACCCAAAAGATTAAATGTGTAACATTTTATTCTAAATATATTATAATTATTATAATTTAGCCCTTTTATTAACTCTTATTGCTTATTCCATCAAAAACTATCTCGTTGACATCGTTGGAATGAGCAATAGAATCTAACAGAAATGTCATATTATAATATTTTTAATATATTCAAAATTTAATCATTAAGAGTACATAATAAAAATTGTAAGGGATTTATCTGCGCGTTCAGGATGTCCTCCCACCTTGCATATAAGTCTTGGCACTATATGGAGGTGGTACCCACTAGCTATATGTGAGGGGGAAGACGACTCTCCGTCGGTGTGGGACAAACGTGCTCGTGGAGATCGAGAGGTAAAGACTACTGGTACAAAGCGTAGGCTTACACCAGATCAGCCAAAATTCTTCGGTGGGGGGACGACATCTCAAACGCGCGGATAAATTCCCTACAAAAAGGCGCATTTTATTCAAGTGGCTAGTGGGTACCACCTTCATATAATGCCAAGACTTATATGCGAAGGGGGGAGACGACTCTCCGTTGATGTGGGATAAGCGTGCCCGTGGAGATTTAGAGGTAAAGGCTACTAACACAAAATGTAGGCTTACGCTAGGTTAACCAAAATTCTTTGGTGGGGAAGCACATCCTGAACTCGCGGATAAATCCCTATAAAATTCATTAAATATTTTGGGACATAAATCATTAAATATGAAAAAAGAGCGACGGCGAAATCTTGGTACTTGCTTGCTTCGTAGCATAACAAACGACGTCGTGTTCGTGATCGGTCCTGACGAAGTCTATGAACTGTTTCGTCAATGGGGTTAGGTCTCCGGTGAATCGAAGAATTTCTCTGCAATTAGTTTGCCCAAAACGAGAAGCTTCTCTCCCCCCCCCCAAAAAAAAAAAATTATAGAATCGATTCACCATTAAGATTCTGGTAGCCTGTGGATTTTATATATGTTTGTGTAGGTAATCTTTGTCAGTTGGAGAGAGTGAGAGAGAGAGAGAGAGAGAATGGGTAGAATAGCAGTTGCAGTAATTGTTAGCTCATGGGTCATCCCGATTTCTATACTTGTCAATCACATTGTTCCTGAACCCTACATGGTATGGTTAATTATAAAAGCCCAAATTAACATACATGAGTTCAACTTATTGCAGATATGCTGATGTGCAGATGTGATGATGCAGGATGAGATATTCCATGTTCCTCAGTCCCAACAGTACTGCAAAGGCAATTTCAGAAGTTGGGATCCTATGATCACCACTCCTCCTGGCCTGTGAGTTATGAATTTTTCATTGTCGTTTCGTTTCGTCTTTGTTTTTTTTTTCAGCAGTAATTTATGTTTGTTTCTGTTATTAAAATTTTGGTAATTCACTACAAATGGGACTGATACAATGGGAATAAATGGGATTGCATTATAAGTATGAATCAATTAGTTTATGGAGATATGCATTTTTGCAGCCTAACAGGATTGTCTGAGTCTAAGTATACTAAAATGCTTGAGCTGACCCAGTGTTCAGCCGGGAAGTTAAATGAAAAAGGAACTAAATTGGTGTTAAAAACATAGAACAATATCGACCATTCATTAGTTTCTAATAGGTTAAAAGAAAAAGTTGATTGTGTCTACCACAAGCTCTAATCAGTAGAAACTTGCTATTAATAGGAGTTAATATATGTAATTTATAAATTTTGCAGGTACTTTCTTTCACTTGCCCATGTTGCTTCTTTGTTTCCAGGCATGTTTTATATGCAAGCAGCGTCGTCATTTCATCATGTCTGCTCCACTGCAATTCTACGCTCAACAAATGGTGCTTTGGCTATAATCTGCAGTGTTCTGGTTTATGAGATAATCACCAGCTTGAGGCCAACCCTTGACAAAAGAAAGGCAACTCTTTATGCTGTTGTTCTGGCCTTGTATCCCCTTCACTGGTTCTTTACTTTTCTTTACTATACAGATGTAGCCTCCCTTACTGCAGTTCTTGCTATGTATTTCATGGGTCTGAAGAAGAATTACCTATCCAGTGCATTGGTAATTATTTCGTTTGTGTTTGAACATGTTATAATTTTCTGGATTTTTTTTTTTCTGGAGTGTGCCATTGTATCTTGGACAATCACTGCCATCCTTACATACTATCTTTTGGTTATAATATTTCTTTTCCTCTCAGAATATCCTTTAGTCATGTGTTGAAAAAAGTAACCTTTGAAAGACCTATTCATAAGAGCGCAGTTACAGAAACTTCTCAAAATATAGTGTGAAACCTGGCACATATTTCTCTTTAGCAATTGCAGGTAACATAATGATCAACTTTCCAAACTAATTTCTATGCCTATATGGGTTTTTTTTTATTTCAGCATGAGCTACTTCTTGACAGAACATGTTTTAGGTGGTTAGCTCCTTTAAACTGGCCGACTCCTATTGCCTTTATCTTTTAAAATTTATATTTCTTTGGGAATGATTTCTGATAAATATTGTTTTCAAATGTTAGTACTTCCCTCAACGCAACTACATCCTGTCCCAAGTAGTTGGAATTGGCTACTAGAATCCTGATTTTTTGACTCATCATTCTATCCTTCTGACCTTTCTTTTATTCATCAATAGGTAAATTCATTCCAGAGGTAATATGTATCTGTATCACTTAAGTCTTTATTGGCGAATCTTAACTTTTAATGTTTTTTTCCTACCTTTTTCATTCTTTAATTTAAGCCAGTATGTTTCATATGGGAAATCCGGCCTTTACAGTTGGAACTTTTTTTTTCAAGTAAGGATATCAAAGCATAAAGTTCATGGTCCTTTTCCATAGTGATGAATTGGGATATGGAATTTTTCTTCTATATAATTGTCTCCTGCACTCTTGAGTATCCAGTGAAGGCAGAAAATCTTTTGTGTGACAGTGCTCGTGTGCCAGTTCTTTTCTGTGTGATGCTAGATGCTGCTCTGGAAAACTTCACGAGCATATTTCAAGACAAAAAAGATTAAGAATACTCCCTCTCTATTATGAGTTTTGGGTCATAATGCTTCTATGTGAGAGATCTATTGTACACGTTCTTAGCCTTCTGTGTATGCAACTGACTCTTAAATGGTTAATGACAGAATTGATCAAACTATGCTTTTAGAACTAGAAGCAAGAGCTGATTTATGTTCATTTACTTATATGTAGCTTGGGGCTTTGGCCGTACTCATTCGACAAACAAATATTATATGGTTGATTTTTGTTGCATGCACTGGGGTTATAGATTTTACTGTGGCTCGGCAAACAGATAACGGGCAGGTAGATGACCCTAGTGCATCAAAACCAAACAATGGTCTGTTAGCTTCTAATAAAGGTGTCACCATGAGGTCCGAGTTGAGAAAGCGAAGGCCTGGTAATGCTGCCAATACAATCAACCATTCCATTCCCAGAACAAGAGCCCCTTCCACGCGACTGCCCTCAGGTTAGATCCGCTTGCATATCTGAGACGATTTTCTCATCGTTTTTCCTGCTACACCTTTCTTGAGTTTGCCTTTGGTTTCAGTACTAATGTTACATCTTGATGAAATGGCATTCATTTCAGACTTGTTTGATGATATTCAAGGCATCTTATTAACATCCTGGCGTCATAAGTGGGAGCTTGTGGTTTCCTTTAGCCCCTTCTTTGTAGCCTTGGTGGCTTTTGTCGCTTTTGTTTTCTGGAATGGCAGTATAGTTCTTGGTACCTCCCATCATTATTCCTGTTTCCTTTTGCTTTTATCTTTTGGTTTCATTGTTTTGAGAACTACTAATGGCATTTCTCCCATTCTGCCTCCTCCTGATCTTGCAGGTGCAAAAGAAGATCATGCAGTTTCTCCACATTTTGCACAATTATGTTACTTTAGTCTGGTTTCTGCTCTGTTTTCGGCTCCTCCGCACTTCAACTTTGGTCAAGCTGCAGTTCTGGTTCAGTCATTTTGGAAGGACAGGCCACTTCGCATCTATCAGTGGTTTATGGCATTTGCTGCTGGCGTCCTCTCAGTGCACTTTTTCAGGTTAATACCCAACTTTACCATATTGAGCATCTGGTAGTAGAAACTTTTTGGTTTGTCCCGTATAAGTTCATTCTCCAATATAAATGTGGCTGGTTGTTTTTCATACAACGCACATATGATTTTTTTTTTGTCAGTCGGTCAGTTATATTCTACCTACAGGCTCTGTACGCCTTTGTTATTATTGTTGTTGTTGTTGTTGTTGTTGTTGTTAATCTCTTAAATAGTAAAGTCCACATTACAAGTGTGAAGCAAGTTCCACGATACTGGAAAATGTGGTAATTTTCAATGACAAAGTTAGTGATATTGCNAATCTCTTAAATAGTAAAGTCCACGTTACAAGTGTGAAGCAAGTTCCACGATACTGGAAAATGTGGTAATTTTCAATGACAANGTTGTTGTTGTTGTTAATCTCTTAAATAGTAAAGTCCACATTACAAGTGTGAAGCAAGTTCCACGATACTGGAAAATGTGGTAATTTTCAATGACAAAGTTAGTGATATTGCAGCATAGCTCACCCATATCTCCTTGCTGACAATCGACATTATCCGTTTTATCTCTGGCGAAAGGTCATCAAATCTCATTGGTTGACGAAATACCTTCTTGTCCCCCTGTATGTTTATTCATGGTTTTCCATCTCCAGTACCTTGGGTGAGTTCAAACTTCAAAGTCCTTAATACTGTTTTTGTTTGTTACAAGTCCACTAAACCTTTGCTGTCTTTTCCCTGACAGCAAAAGTTCAAAAGAAGATCTGGGTGTTGGTATATTTCTTAGCTTGTGCTGCAACTCTTATTCCCGCTCCACTGATAGAATTCAGATACTATACAATACCATTTTTCTTCTTACTTCTCCATTCCCATGTTATGGATGACACAAGTTGGCTTCTCNAAAATACCTTCTTGTCCCCCTGTATGTTTATTCATGGTTTTCCATCTCCAGTAACTTGGGTGAGTTCAAACTTCAAAGTCCTTAATACTGTTTTTGTTTGTTACAAGTCCACTAAACCTTTGCTGTCTTTTCCCTGACAGCAAAAGTTCAAAAGAAGATCTGGGTGTTGGTATATTTCTTAGCTTGTGCTGCAACTCTTATTCCCGCTCCACTGATAGAATTCAGATACTATACAATACCATTTTTCTTCTTACTTCTCCATTCCCATGTTATGGATGACACAAGTTGGCTTCTCATGGGGATCTTTTATGTTGCCATCAATATATTCACAATGTTTATGTTCTTGTCTCGACCATTCTCTTGGGACCATGAGGCTGGGATACAGAGATTTATATGGTAGATGAATGCATCGGAATTCTGAAAGCTTCACAAGCTCTTTCAGTTAGTCACAACCTCAATCTTGAGTAGCATCAACTAACCCAAAGATCTTGGCTAGTTGAAGCATTTGAAACATGACTTAAGCACCCGAATAATCGATAGTGGATTGCATCGCACCAGGTTCTGGTTTATATCTTGTTCATTTGCATGTACTATGTTGACAAGTTGAAAATAATGTTTAGTTCAAGAGCAGAGAAAGTAATGTAATGCTTTTATATGAGTTTTTAATTAGATTATGATCTTCTTGTACCACGCTTCGGATTCATTTCTTCCTGTAATTGTTATGCAAGGAATTGAAAATTTCACCCCGGCTTATGAGAGTCACTATAAGTTCTTTTTCTTTTCTCCTTTTCATTTACAGATAAGAAAGGGAAAGTGTTGCTCCAAAATCTGCTGGGATCAAGAGAAATGTCTCAATCGATCGACAACTTTTCAGGCGATTATTGAATATTCCCGGGATTTTATATTTTAAGCCCAAACAGAAAGAAAAGAAACAGTCGTTTGGCTTTTAAATTATTACAGGGAGTGTTTTTGTTTTGGAGGGAATCAGTCAAATATGGGCATATCTTATTCTTCAAGCTGATTTCAGAACACCAACCGAGGATTCTCTGGACTGGACGGTCTTCTCTTCAAACATAAGGCAGAAGAATGGGTTGTGGGTCCTACCCCTCAACTTCAACCAAGAAAATTTCCACTCATTATCGAAGTTAATAGTAATAGGATTATTTTAAATCTTTATTAGCGGTGCATAAAATTTGTCTCCACTTGTTTCACCTTTTTTTAACCCTTACATTATTGGAAAATTATTCATTAGTGTGTTANATTCCACTCATTATCGAAGTTAATAGTAATAGGATTATTTTAAATCTTTATTAGCGGTGCATAAAATTTGTCTCCACTTTCATCACCTTGTTTCACCTTTTTTTAACCCTTACATTATTGGAAAATTATTCATTAGTGTGTTAAAATAATTTTTGTTAAATGTGAAAAAATAAAGAAAAATTAGTAAAAGTTTAAAAAGATAGTGGGATTTGTTAAATAAGTCAAATGTAATAATTTCATTGGAAGGAGGTAATTAAAATCTAGAAATTCTGCATTTGGGGAAGAAAGCTTTCTCAAAATCTCTCACCCAAAAAATATTTGTTATATATATATATATACACTAACAACGATCTCGTCCAATGCACGAAATTTGTATATCAACACCTTCTGTTACCCTTTTCATTATTATTTCTTCTCTTTTGTCTCACCGTTTAAGGAGTTAAGAAATTAAATAATTAATTATAAAAAATTTTGGGGTGTGAAAAAGTAAATTTTTATAAAAAAAAATTGAATGAGGAGATATTAGTTAGTGGAGGGGTGGTTATGACACATGCTNCCTTTCAGTTAGTCACAACCTCAATCTTGAGTAGCATCAACTAACCCAAAGACCTTGGCTAGTTGAAGCATTTGAAACATGACTTAAGCACCCGAATAATCGATAGTGGATTGCATCGCACCAGGTTCTGGTTTATATCTTGTTCATTGGCATGTACTATGTTGACAAGTTGAAAATAATGTTTAGTTCAAGAGCAGAGAAAGTAATGTAATGCTTTTATATGAGTTTTTAATTAGATTATGATCTTCTTGTACCACGCTTCGGATTCATTTCTTCCTGTAATTGTTATGCAAGGAATTGAAAATTTCACCCCGGCTTATGAGAGTCACTATAAGTTCTTTTTCTTTTCTCCTTTTCATTTACAGATAAGAAAGGGAAAGTGTTGCTCCAAAATCTGCTGGGATCAAGAGAAATGTCTCAATCGATCGACAACTTTTCAGGCGATTATTGAATATTCCCGGGATTTTATATTTTAAGCCCAAACAGAAAGAAAAGAAACAGTCGTTTGGCTTTTAAATTATTACAGAGAGTGTTTTTGTTTTGGAGGGAATCAGTCAAATATGGGCATATCTTATTCTTCAAGCTGATTTCAGAACACCAACCGAGGATTCTCTGGACTGGACGGTCTTCTCTTCAAACATAAGGCAGAAGAATGGGTTGTGGGTCCTACCCCTCAACTTCAACCAAGAAAATTTCCACTCATTATCGAAGTTAATAGTAATAGGATTATTTTAAATCTTTATTAGCGGTGCATAAAATTTGTCTCCACTTGTTTCACCTTTTTTTAACCCTTACATTATTGGAAAATTATTCATTAGTGTGTTAAAATAATTTTTGTTAAATGTGAAAAAATAAAGAAAAATTAGTAAAAGTTTAAAAAGATAGTGGGATTTGTTAAATAAGTCAAATGTAATAATTTGATTGGAAGGAGGTAATTAAAATCTAGAAATTCTGCATTTGGGGAAGAAAGCTTTCTCAAAATCTCTCACCCAAAAAATATTTGTTATATATATATATATACACTAACAACGATCTCGTCCAATGCACGAAATTTGTATATCAACACCTTCTGTTACCCTTTTCATTATTATTTCTTCTCTTTTGCCTCACCGTTTAAGGAGTTAAGAAATTAAATAATTAATTATAAAAAAATTTGGGGTGTGAAAAAGTAAATTTTTATAAAAAAAAAATTGAATGAGGAGATATTAGTTAGTGGAGGGGTGGTTATGACACATGCTATAGAAAGTAATTTTTTAAAAAAAATATAATAAAGAGTTATAGTTAGTGGAGGGGTGATCATGCCACATAATGAAATATAATTGGATTGAATGCATTGAAATAAATCTATAAATCTATATAAATTAAGAGTTTATTATTGTTTTTATCTTATTTATCAGTTTATCATAGGCTGCCTAATTTAAATCCATGTGTTCTCAATGTTTATAAATACTCTTTTATTTAAAGGTGCTTAAAAATGTATTTTGCAAATAAAAATTATATTGAAAGTGTATGTCTAAATCACGATTTCATATAACCAATTAGGATTAAGTTAAAGTTTAAAACAATAGTAAAGTGAGAATAGAGATTTAAAATGACTAATACTTCTTTAGTAGTGGGGAAAGTCCCGTAATACTAGACGACTTTTCGTAAAAATGTAATTTCTGTGGACTTCAAAAAAGTTAGAGCAGAAGAAAAGTCGTACTTAAATTTACTAATTTAAAGTCAACCCGAATTTTAATTGGGAGCTAATACTTANCCCGTAATACTAGACGACTTTTCGTAAAAATGTAATTTCTGTGGGCTTGAAAAAAGTTAGAGCAGAAGAAAAGTTGTACTTAAATTTACTAATTTAAAGTCAACCCGAATTTTAATTGGGAGCTAATACTTAGACTAATTGTTTTCAAATTCCCCCACAAACTTTCAAATTTGCTGATTGGCTTTTAGGTGAGCTGACCATCGTAATCATCGTCACTATCATTATCACCTAACTTACTGGTTCCAGCAACTTCCCCATTTGATGGTGACAGTACAAAACTCCAAAAGAGAAAAAAAAAAAAACCATGGTTTATATTCTAAGAGTTGAAACCCGTCAATCCTTGGAACATTATAAATTTAATAGGTCACGAGATCTTAGAGATACCTAAACCANGTAATCATCGTCACTATCATTATCACTTAACTTACTAGTTCCAGCAACTTCCCCATTTGATGGTGACAGTACAAAACTCCAAAAGAGAAGAGAAAAAAAAAAAACCATGGTTTATATTCTAAGAGTTGAAACCCGACAATCCTTGGAACATTATAAATTTAATAGGTCACGAGATCTTAGAGATACCTAAACCACAAGCAACTCTTAAAAATTTAAAGTTTCATACATTTGACTTTCCATGTTCATGTACCTAAATTTTAATCCCAACGGTTGCATTTATTAGAAACCTAACGCCGTTCTTCACGTCACTTCTAACCCATTCATCTAAACAACTCTTTCGAAACCTAGGTCATGCATTGTTTTTTCACGAGTGTTAGTCAATTATTTCATTGTGGAACCAAATTTTTTGAGTATTGATCAACTATATTTTAATGTTGTATCTCGACGTTAGCTCGGATAAATAGAATTCGGGTTCTCAAAATTAGATCTTGAACTACTTGATTCAAATGATTTGTGGTGGCTGATTATAAAAATTGGGTCTCAAAATACTTGACCCACATAATTTTGCGGCGAGTGATTTTCAAAGTTGGGTTTCGAAGTACTTGATGCACATGATTTGCAGTGGGTTATGAAAAGTTAACGAGTCCAAAAGAAATGTTGTTGAACTTAGGGGTGACAATCGTGTCGTGTTATTTTGAGTTCGTATCGAGTATTAATCAACCTTAATCCAATCCGTTTAACTAATCGTGTCATGTTGAGTCGACTTATTTATTTTTGTGTCGTGTTTGTGCTGACTTATATAACCCTTGAATAAGAAATTTAATGCTCAGATTTAAGTCTAAAATTTAATTGTTACTTAATCGAACATATGCTCATACTTTTTCTATAAATTAAAAATTAACTTGATAAATATAATAATAAAAATGAATAAAAATATCTTTTTTTTTGTATAATAATTATCACTGCTTGATAAAATATAATAAAAATTAACATTTTATTCTTTTAATACTAGTAAAACGTATTAATTATGTCAATTTTGTGTTCCACGTGTTTGACACTAATTCGATCCATTTATTGTTCGTGTTAACAAGTCATATCATTTATCGTACGAAGAAATGATCAAACTTAATCAACTAATTTCGAATTATATCTCCGCGTCGGATTACAAATTGCCACTGACAATCCGTTACCAAAACCAACAAAAAAAAGTGATTTCACTATTGCTTACTTTTTGAGAAGTCTAGAAAGTTGATGAGAAGCAAGTTTGTAACTACATAAATATGGACTTTTTATGCCTGCAAAGTCAAATATTTTCTTTCACTGCTCAAGAAAAGAAAGTCCCAAGTTCTTAGCATTCATATAGAAATGGATTGGATTTGATTGAATTAGATTATTGTAAATGGAAAACAAGAAACCGCGTAGAAGACTAATGAATAATGATGGGATTAGTTGACTATCTCCATATTCTCAGTGTGTGCATTCCACTAAGAATGCACAATGTGAAAGATCCTAAATCCTAAATCCTAACCTGATAATGATGGATTTGGAACCCATCTAGTATCTTCCTTCAACTTCTATGAATGTTAGATCGTCTATTGTATATGAAATTAAAAACAAAAGTGTATCGAAAGAGATTCGTGTTGACAATAAACACTACNATGTGTGCATTCCACTAAGAATGCACAATGTGAAAGATCCTAAATCCTAAATCCTTACCTGATAATGATGGATTTGGAACCCATCTAGTATCTTCCTTCAACTTCTATGAATGTTAGATCGTCTATTGTCTATGAAATTAAAAACAAAAGTGTATCGAAAGAGATTCGTGTTGACAATAAACACTACCGAATAATTGCTTTTAGATAAGCACTTGATCAACTTGGGTTATCTCTGATCAAAATACTTATTTCAAAGAAAGAATCAATCACTAGGAATATGGGAATGTTGGACTTAAGTTGGTTTTATTCTCCTACAAGTACAAACCAATTGGTTACGAAAAAGAGAAAAAAAAAAAACAACAATTAGAAGCATCTGGAATATCAGAAATGCTCCAAATCCAATTAGTAGTAAGATTCTGAAATTTTTCATTTTGCAAAAGAATCATGTATTCCCTTTGACAATTAGCTTATGTTCCTTGCTTTGCATCAAATAACCAAAAGGGTAAAGTATAATGACTCAAATACATCAGATTGAAGTTCTTGGAATTACATTTTGCAAAGCGCATAGAGGAAATATGTGCCTCAAACAGGAGCACAGAGAAAACAGTAACACGAAAAAAAAATGAACGAATTAACCAATTGATTGATCCTTGATCGATAAGCTGTTCATCGTATGATGGACATGACTCTCTGGAAAATGCAAAACCTCAAGGGGTTAGCATTTGCTACAACAGTACAATTTCATGTCACATACCAAGGAGGGAGAGGAGGACTTTTTGTTCAGAATTTTACAGTCATCTCAACCTCAAGCTAATTTATGAACACTCTGCCTAGCACCTCTTCATAGCTCAGCTGTATACTATAAACAAAATGGTGAAAGATAGGGATAAAAGAACAAAACCAAAGGCCACAATTGCTAGAGTTTCCAGTAAATGTCTATGTATTTTCTATTCCGTAATGTCTTGTATTTACACAGATGATCGCCATATTCTTCCTTCAAATGAAATAATGATAATCGATACATCATCATGGTATTTTCTTCGGTCTCCTTGTGGGATATCAAGCAATTCATGGAAGTCCATACCTGCAAGATTTTCGAGACAAGTTGTTAAAATGATGCCAATTAGCCTATGTTACCAGCTATGAATAAAATCTTATGCAAATAAGGGGTGGTAGGTTATTACCAGCTTTCTTAGCAGCTCGAAACAAAACTTCTTCAACAAGATGTTGAGCAGGATCTCCCTCAGGAAATGTAGACATGAACATCTCAACCTCGGAGACAGCTTCTTCATTGGTGAAGTATTGGTAGAGTCCATCGGAAGACAGAATCAGAAATCTGTCTCTGGGGCTTAGCCTGTGGTGATAAACTGATGGTAAACAGTTGATGTAGGGGGAACTTCCAACGTAATCGATCCTGAACATCTTTAGAAGTGCATTGTTCCATTTAGGCTGCAAAATGAAAAGAAAGTTCGATAGATATTAACAAAATGGTTATAAAATGTTTTAATTTATATGCAAGTTCAAGTAAACTTGGATGCAAAAACAATGGAAAAGTCGAACAAAACTTGTTTTGACTCCACACACCCCCACACACAGAGGGTTGAGAGAATTAGATAACTTAGGCCTCTGTTTCAAGCATGGCCTAAGATGGCTGTCAATAAATGAGATCATATTACAGTATAAGTGCATAATGACTAGCAGCTTAGAAATTAAAATCACCTGTTTGAGAAAGCCAGCCCCAAAAGCCCGAGTGACCTTCAATGAACCTTTCACACGATTATTCGACACTGCAGAAGCATCATCTGGATGCTCCCTCTTAATTCTTCTAACTTCCTGAATAACACAATTTGAATGAGTCCCCAAACAAACAGACAAGAAAAATAAAACAGAAATTTCCACTCTCTAAAAGACAAGGGAACAGAATTTTACCTCTGCCACAGATGTACTATGATCCATGGTGAGCTGACAAGAAGTTAGTTCTAGGAAATTTTCAAATCCAAGACCATCAAATGCTTCAATACCATCCAAAGATTCCTCGTTGATCCGTTCCAAGTCCTTTCCTGCCTTCCTAATCCGAAGATCAGGTTCAGCCTTCCTTGCTAAAACAGCTCGACTATCGCCTACATTCATCAAGTACACATCTTCACCCTTCATCAACATGGCCAAAATACAAGAACCCATCAGAGACAACTCAGGATTTTCCATTACCATCATATCTGCGATCTCCAAATACGCCTCCTCTGTCTTCCTCAAACCCTCTGAAAGCGCTTTCAGAACATCAGAGTGCTTAACACCTGTCACTCCATCAGAACTAGTTTTTTCCAATTTTTCTTTCATTTGCCCATCAAGCTCTACTCTTTCACTCTCCCATTGACGACACTTTGAGCTTCTCTGACTCTCCTCCAATTTCTTTGCTTCCCCTGGAGTTCTCTTATTTGAATTGTTACCCCTCTTCCTCTTCGAATTACACTCCAAATCCCCAGATTCACACAAAATGTTTTCTTGATCAAATTCTTCATGTTGGACAAAAGATCCATTACCAAAATCTGAATTTTTCGATGAATCAGACGCATTACCAACAGAATTGGCCGGAGATTCAAACTTGTCATTCCATAGTACACCTTTTAGTTCCGTATAAACATTGGAATAGAGATTATTAAGCAAATAATCAGTAGCATCAGGACCATTAAACCCATCATAAATTCCTACAAAGACCCATCCATTTTCCTCAGAAATCACTATATGGACTCGATCCTCACCAGCTTTCCCTTGTGCCCATTGAACATTCTGACTCCTAAAAGATTCATCACCATCGTCGTCATCACCATCAGCTGAACTCAATTGACTGCTGAAATTATTACCATTACCACCACTTACTGTTCCATTTTCGTTGGACCTGTTAGCCCAATTCGAATCTTTAGACCCTCGAATCGGCACGACAATCGATTTTGATATAACTCTTTTAAGAGTTTTGATCAAAGCCCATTTCTTGGATTTGGGTTTGTACCTCTGTAATTGATCATACTGGTTCTCTAACGGACCTGATATGAAATTCCGCTCCATAGGTCCTGATAAGAATCCTCTTTCCACCGGTCCTGAACCGAATAACACGCCGGAGTTTCCAGGAATTGGGCCGGAACTAACCGATGGAATTGAATTCCGCGGAATCGGTTGAAGAGGAATCGAACAAAACAAATCAGAGCTCTCAAAAGATGCAGCCTTGTCTAGAGAATCGTAGGGACAGAGATCGACGAGGGACGTGGAGAGCGCCGTGGAGGTGTTGGCAGATATGGAAGCTCCGGAGATGGTGCTAAATGTTGTCGTGGTGGTGGTGGAGGTGTTGGTGGTTGTGAAGGACTCATCGTAGTGAACTTTCGAGGAGGAGAGTTGATATGGGTCTGGTCTGATGTAGCAGAAAGAGTGTCCCAACCCTTCATCAAGAGGGTCCGACAGATATATAGCTATGTCGTGTCGTCGCCGGGAGATTTCTCCGGCGTCTCCGGCGAAACAGATATTCAGTTTTCCAACCCCATTTCCCATATTGAAAAAAACGTTTACAAAGACGAAAAACTATAAGAGTAGCTTGATCATGTAAGATGATTTGGCTATGGCGTTGAGGAAGATAGGAAAGTAAAGGGACAGAAAAGGATGAAGAAGAGATAAAAGGAGAGACAGAGAGAGAGAGTTGACTTTGAGAAATGTTATTGTAATGTGGATTGTGGTTTGTTTGATGATATTTTGTCTGAGTACTATAATGGATGCTTTTGGTTATGGTGGGCTGAGCACTACGTGGGGTGGGGGCGTTGACAAACAAGTTTTGTAGTGTATTGTTTTTGTAAGGTTTTGGGTCGGGAGAGAGGGAGAGACTTTAAATAAATAATTTCGGAATTATAAATCTCTTCTACTACCATGGATTCGACGGAATGGAACGAGTGAAGGGTTAAGCGTGTGGGGTTGAGTTTGAATAAAAAAAAAGTAATGTAATAGCAGTAGTCTAGTCGTAGCTGAGAAATGCTGAAAGTTGGAGGCTATCAAAAAGTCAAAGGCTTCCATTCCAAAGGGTGCTTGTTGATGGACAATTGTGCATGAGGAACGTGACATCTGGGTGACAACTGCGTGGTCAGCAGTGGGGTCAGACCGTTTCACTGTTAAACTATCTCCCTCCTATAATGATTTTTAATTTTTTTTTATTGAGACTTAAATTAAATTTTCCATTTAATAAAGAGAATTTATGTTAACAAACTAAAATTTATATTCAAATCTTTTTTTAAAATCTTGCATAATTTTTTAAAAATACGAGGCTTAAAGCTATTAGTGTTAATGAGGTTTTTTTTATTTTTAATTTAAATTTTAAGATTTATTAATTAAAGTTTTTCAAATTATGCTAATATATTTTTTAATTAATAATATAACTTTTGATTTCAAATATTTTGATAGAATAATAATTTATTGCCTCATTAATGTTTTATATATTTTTTTATTTATTTTGTACGTTCTTCATCGAAAATTGTGGTATTATATGATTAACTATTATTATAAGTGTTGAATTTGGTTTTGTTTTTGTATCCGGGGAAGAGAGACAAAGATATTGATGTTTATTATATTTTTTTTATTGGAGAAAATCAGAAAAAAAAATTGATGATGTTAATATTTTCTTGTTAACCTTTTTTGTTCTTTAATAAATATGATTATGTGAGATGGGTTAGATTTTTTGGTCCAAATTTTAAAATTATTTTTCATTGGCTTATTCTTTAAAGAGTGTTTTTGTTGGACTAAATTGTATTGATCTCTCAAATTTAGAGCCTTATTTATAAATAGAGCCTAAAATTCACGTTTTTTTTCTCTAGTGTTGAGCCGACACTAGGTTAGAGTAAAGACAAAAGGTTTGCAAAGTAGAATTATTCATGGTGAAAGCGAAAGAAAGCAGCACATTTGGCTTAGTGAACAAAAATGTTTGGACTTCTAATTAAGGGGTCGTGAGGTTGAATCGCATAGTCTAAACTAAATTTGAGCTCAAAATCTGCATTTATAATTTACAAATCAAACCAAGTTTAACAATTGATTCAAACCCTCTTATAATTAACTTGAGCTAAGTTTTTGACATACCAAAATCCAAAAGACTCGACATGATTCATACTCCAATTAATGAGATTGTGGTAGTGGTCGACGAGGAGGGGGAAGGGAGGAGCGGGACTCATAATGGGAGATGGGGCTCTTTTGTCAAGAAAAAATTATTCATGATCAATGAATTGGATATTTAAAGTATTGTGTGTTGTCGACTCTTCGTCTTATTAATTTTATATGAGATTTTGGTGATCTATATTGAAATTGTAAAAGGGTTTTAGTGTTATAGTATTGGAACATCAAGAGCGACCAAGAATAATTCCAAATGTGGAAAGATGAAACTTGAGTTTCTCCATTCAAATAACATGTTTTATATACAGGATATCTGAACATTTCACATTGGTTGACTTTTGTAAGAAAGCAGATATGAACAACTCAGCGATGAGCTACAGGTGTGTTGATTTGACTTTTTTAAAAAGTTTTAAATACTATTTCATGAAGAACTTTCTGCTTGAATCACTAATGACAGTAACATGGTGTGTATTCAATCTTGACCTCCATAATAATCTATATAATTTATTGTAGATTTTTTTAAAAAAACAAAAAAATTGACAAGAATATGTGAAGGTTACTGTCATTTAACTAAAAATTAGCGATTGATCTAATGGTTACTATTCTTATTGTTGAATCTTAAAATCACGGGTTCTAATTTCGTTATCTCTCTTCCCTATTGTACCTAATCAAAATAAAAAAGAGTAATGTTATATAGATCTTATTTTATTTTTTAGAAGAAGAGAAGGGGAGAGAGACGACTAATAAATATTAACTTTCTATGCCTGACCATAAGGGCCTCCCATTTTGAAATATCCAGTTTGAGTTATAGTTACTAATTTTGAAGAACAGTTTGTTATCACAGAACCACCAAAGTCATGCAGCAAACTACATTGCTTCCGTTAATCGAACTTTACCCGATAATCACATGAGAATCAAGGACGACTCTAAACAAGTTACCACTAGATCACTAGCTTGGGTGGTATATGAAAGTTATTTGGTGACTTTATTTGATGGTCTTATCATTTTTTGTCATTAGATTAACGATGGATTTGATTATTAGTTCAGATTCACTATCAATTTAATGTTTATGATCTATCATATCACTAAATAAGATCATTAAATAAAATAAAAATAACATTTTTCAATAAAAAATTAAAACTTATTAAACCCCCCCAAAAAAAAAAAACACCATAACTCAATCTCATGCACTATTATCAGAATCGGACCGGACTGGTTGGTCGGATCGGTTCAACCGTGAACCGGGACCTTAACCGGTCCGGTTCCTTAGTTGAACCGTTTAAGGAAGCGAACCGGCTAAAAACCAGAAAATTGGCCGATTTTTAACAAAAATCGGTTTTTAAAAATTAAATTACATTAATAAATTTTTTTGTCCTAAATCAGTAAATAGTTGATTTTTTTTAACCTTATTCTTGAAAAAATTATAAATGACACCCCCTCTTTTTCTTTATAATTTACTTGAACTTCTTTACTTTGCTTTAAAATACAATAACTCCTACTTTGTTACTTAATTTTATTAATCTTATGACAAATTTTATGTATTTTATACATATTTTATATATTTTAGCTAAATTATTAAATTTTATAATTATTATATATATATTTTTATTTTTTATTATATGACCAGTCCGATTAATTGATTTAATGGTTGAATTAATGAACCATTGACCCGGTCTTCTTATCGATTCAAAGACCGATTCAATTTTGATAACATTGATCTCATGTAATGATGTTGACTATTGCACAGGGTAGAACTAAAATTATGCATTTTGCTCTCCATTGTCAAGTCATCCTTTTAAGCGTGCTTTGATGCCTGTCTAAGGAAGTCTATATATAGGCCTAATCATACAATGGTTATTGATATCTGACGCTGAGGTTTTTGTTTTATTGAACTATACATAAGCAAAATGGCGTCATTTGAACGATGGTAAGTTTTATTAAACCCCATACAACTGTCATGTTCACTGTTTTTAATGTCCAGCTATAAATATCTTATCTAGATGTGTCATAAGCTTTAACCTAATAATGACTTGCATGCTAAGGCTGTGTAACAGCGAAGTTTGTAGTGATAACGAGTCGTATTGTATCGTTGTTTAAGTTATATATTATATTAAAATTTGTTTAATTATATTCGATCCCATAATTTTATATAGTGGGTTCAAATTATATCATGTTCATATTATATATAAGTCGAGTTTGTAAATTTGTATTATATTTAATTGAATTTGTGACAACCTATTTATTTGATGAGTTAATGACGACGCCCATTTATCACTTAAACTTTGTAATCCCCAGTAGATTTCTTGTCGGGTTCACAGATTATGTCTAAAAGTGTAAAGTCTAAGCAAAAATTGTGTAGGTATTATGTGCTGGAGTTACAAAAATTGTCTTCTATCATGAATAAGTAAGATCATGTATATTAAACTCTCTTATGAGCCAACTAAAAGAAATTTCTTGAGTTGGACTGTTTATTTTTATTATTGAGGCGTTGATACGCTGATAGTTACGTGAAAGATCATCCTCATAGGATTCTTTCATTTTCCTTGTGTCCAATTTTTAGCCATAATCTATTAGTTGACAACTTAATTTCTCTTTCTCTCTCTGATGTATGATTGCTAGTTTTTACATTGTTGGTGGTGGTGGTGTTTTCAAATGGCAATGCCATTGCATGATTGAAGGAAAGTCAGCTAGCTCAACAAAGGAACGTAATTTGGACACGACGTGAGGAGATGCATCAATGTATCTTTTAAAGTCTAATTCACTTCAAATTGCCAATTTATTTAATACATGGTGATGACCATTTTTTTGTGTTTTAATATGAATGAAAATAAGAAGTCAATGGAAGCAGATCCCCCAATCCCTTTTATATGAAGGCAGAAATGGAGGTTGTGGCAGATAACCTCAACAATAACCAAATACAATGTTGTATTAAAGTGGGTCAAAACTTAAAAACTACACCCCCACAACTAAACAATTATTCTCACAAAAAATGTGTGACTTTTGCAAATTTGACCAGGGGGCAGAGCCAAAAAATAATTTTTGGGTGGGTACCGGACACTTTAACAAGTTTCAAAAAACAAAAAAAAAATTCACAATCTATAAAAATAAGATAATATATTTAATATTTAATTACACCATATCTATTATGTAAAAATTTTCAGAAATACAAATACCAAGAAACGGTAAACATAGTGTATACAATTGAAACAATACAACGAGAGATTAATTACAATTTACAAGCCTTTTGCAAAAACTTAAAAATGGGCAATTTGAAACCATTTGTAATTGAACCTGATGAATTCTTTTTATTGTAGGCACTCAAAATCAAGTACCCAAAAATTTTCACAATTGATCAATGATGGTGTCAAACATTTTGAGGTACTTGAGATCGCTCTTAAGATTACTAATATCGATCCCAAAATACGAAAAAGTTATAAATGAGTCATAAAAAGTTATGCAAAAAATCTTAAAACTTGTAATTGACAAGTACGGTATTTATTATTGTTTTTTTTTTACACGGTGGACTTGTCCATAAAAAATTGTCAAAACATAGTATTGCTTTTAAAGGAAGATATC